CAGAGCTCACTGCCATCTATAACTCCAAAGAGCAATTTCAGCTGAAATCCTAAATTGAATTACAGATTTGTATTGCACTGCTCACTATTTATTAATAATATTGTGCCTACAACATATCCTGTTCTTCATTACCATGGAGAGAACAGTACTGGTTCCTCTGTGGGACCCAGAGCTATTTGTTTCTTCAAATGTTAGATTCTTGCATGTACAGAACCTACAGACATCTGTGTTTCTTTTGTAATAAGTACTTTTATCTAGCCAGAAATGCAGAAAAGGTTTCTCAGGACTATAAAACTACTTGGATGTATCACATGATTTATATATCATGGAAAAACATCACCATAAGTATTTCTTCACAAGTAGAAGAATACAAAGTGTTATGGGATAAAGTCCTTGGGACCTTTGAACTCCCATACCAGTGACACCCTTAAGTGTCAGGCATACAATTTTCAGTCAGAAATGCCAGTTCTAAGTCTCCAACAGACATGAGCAAGGCATGATGCTGATGCACCATGGTTAATTAGGATTTGTAGCAGCAAGGAATACTGGGGAAACAAACACAGCTTGAACAAATAATACTTTTCTCAGAAAGATACAGGAGCCCAGGTCCCCAGGGCTGGGAGTTCCTATCATCTTCTCAAAAGAGAGGCAGATACAAACCCTAAAGTATGAAATCTTTTCTACAGCCTAACATAAGGGTTTTAGTAAAAATCAAAAACTACAGATATTTTCTTGGAACCTCAGGGCAGAGTCCTTTAGGTTCAAATGGATGACACCAGAAGACTGAACAACTTCTTACAAGGCCAGTAATGTTTGCAAAAATAGGAGTGATGGAGAATTGGAGGTGACCTTGTTTACATGTGGCCTGAGAAGAGCTCACTGCACTGTGTCAAACAAAAAATCTCTTGCTGCTGCAGTATCCCAGGCATGGAAATGTTCTTCAGATTTTTATCCCAGCCACTAAAGGGCCTTTGGAATCAGCTCAGGCATTTGGTTTCAATGCAGAAGTCGAAGGAAAGCCCATCAGGTCTTTGGCATAGGCCTATCTTATCATGTTACAGCTTGCTATTATCTTCCCTGCAAGGGAGATTCCATACAATAGCCCCGAGGAAGGTGTACAATTTATTATCTGATGGCCACCTTGCCAGCAGAATGGAATGCTTCAAGAAAGCCAAGCAATAACCCACAACACTAGGAGACTCTGTTATCCCATCTGGATGCCTGTGGCAGGCAGTATTTCCTCACTGCAGTATGTTACATTAATAAATCAACACTAATCTACCATTAATTTATTAATTTAAGAATAAAAAACAATCAGCAGTTTCCATTTAGAAAGGCTCCCATCTGCCCAGCAATGAGGATGCTCTCCCCTCGAGCCTTTCTCCAGCCCACCCCAGAGCAAATACTGGGTCCATCCATACTGGTACAGCCCACCTTCCCTTACCCCCAGGCCACATACTGTGCTGTCCTGTGTTTTGGCAAACTCACCCTCTGCTCTGAAGAGAAGAAGTGCTTCTGGGCTTCTTCAAAGACTCTCCAGTGTCAGCTCTGGTGCCTCAGGCAAGGCTCTTGACCTGCTCCACTCCAGCCCCGGCTCAACAGCCTGCAGCAGCCAGGGTAAGCTCTCAAGGAAACTGTAGAGAAAGAGGAAGACTGAACATCTTTCTCAGATTACTTCCTGCCCTTAAAAACACTTTCTTAAGCATGAGGAGATAGGAAAGAGATCTTCTGCTTTCCCAACTAAGATATTTGCTATTTTCTTCATCTACTTCCGAACAGGAACAATGTATTTTAACATCCGTTTGAACACTTAAATATATTTTATTCAAAAATTACTCCAAACTGTTGCAAAATAGAAATGCAAGTGAAGCCAAACCCATCCAATCTTTTCGTCTTCTCTCCAGAAGTCACAGTGATGACATACTTCTTAAGAAGCAGAGCCTTTGCCTGTGGCTGGCCACTGCCTGGAGATCCTGTGTCTGGCCTTTTGAGATTCAGGCCACATATGGACTGGGATGCTGGGAGAATTAACAACACTATATAAGGTTAGGTTTCTCTGGAATAGAAACCTTAAGAGGTTAAATGATGTATATGCATTAGCATCCTCTCTGGAATAGATTTTTTTTAGTTTTCCAGGCGTCAGGAACAGAGCCAGTAGTTGGAGACAGCTATTCCTATGGAAACCTGGGTGTGAGTTGAGCAGAGAGCTAAAGTACCTACACCCCACCAGGCTGATGGATAGCACAGCTCCTGCTGTGTGTGAGCTGCATCTGAGGACACTGAGCAGCCACCTGGGGGGGACAGCAAAGTGGCATTACTACAGTCCCTGAAGACTCCCTGTACACAGGTCTTTCTGCAGCACAGTGAGGGAAAAAGACTGGCACACAGGCAGCAGAAGGCCTGCACAAGTTGTGGGCACTTTTTACATTGCCCGTGTTACCTTTTCCTTGCTGAGCTTTTATCTTGATTTTTGTGCAATAAAATCATGTTAATAATACTGTGAATGAATAGAAAGGCCCTAAGTCAATCTTTGCATTTAGAAAAGACTGGTTAGAACAGTTTAGGAATTGATTCCGATTTATTAAAGCACCTGTTCACCCAGGGAACATTTTAGCAGCAATCAATATGTAATTAAATCTTTATTGATGTTTTACAATTGTTTTGTTTCCCAGCAATTACAGTGATAGAATCAGCTTCCCGTGATTGTTTCTCTTTTCCAGCTTTACTACTGATCTTGTGAGAGCATACTGGCAACTCACTTAATATCTCCCAAGCTATTATTAATAAATTGGGATCACAAACACAGTGAATCAGCTCTAATCCTGACCCACTGTGCTAAGCACAGGCCAACAAGAAAAGCCAACCTCTGACCTGAATAACCTGATAACAATAATAACAGGGAGCTTTGGGATGATATAAGCACAAATGTTTCAGTGAAATCATCAGATATGTTTGAAGGACTGAATTTCATTAGGCTTTTCTAGTCAGAGTTTAGGTCCCTCAAAGTTGGGATTGCTTTTCATTTGTTGCTTGTCCAACTTCAGGAAACAGGTGTTGCTGGTGCAGCCATGTAAATCATTCCCGCTCCCTGCTCAGGCAGCCACGAATTCCCATTTGGCCTTTCTGAAATAATACCACAAACACAGGGGAATGGGTCATATTTTCACTAAAACCTCATCACGTGAGTCTGGTCAGAGCAGTGCATTCCTCCAGAGCCCCTTAGCCGTGCCAGCGCCAAGGGACTGCGGGGTGAAAGCCCCGAAACTGGAATCCCAAAGGGGACAGCAAACGCATCCTTCCCCCCGCCCCCCGGCCCCGTTGCAGCCTTTACGGCAGCTGGGAGGGAGAGCAAAGGGGGAAAGGGGGCAAATCTCGCCACACTGTGCCTGTTCCTCGCCTGTCCCGCGGGAGCCCTGCCCGGAGAAGTGAGGGGTGCCCGGGGTGCAGCCGCCGGGCTGCGCAGAGCCTGTGCCCTGTCCCCAGCAGATGGAGGTGTAGGCACGGCTTTCCCTGCCTCCCCTCCTCCTCCCGATCCTGGCACGCCTCTCGTGGAAACCAGCGCCCGAACCGGCTCAAAAAAACCCAAAAAAACCCAAACCAAAACAAAAACACACACACAAAAAACAAACAAAACCCCCCAAACTCAAACAACAAACAAACAAAAGGAAAACAAATAAAACCCAAAACGCAAACCAAACAAACGACAAAAAAACACACAAAAAACACACAAACAAACAAAAAAACCCCAATCCCCCCAACCCAATAACAAACAAATAAACAAACAAAAGCAACAAAAAAACCCCCACACCACAACCCCCCTGCAAAAAAAAACCCCAAAACCAGGGAAGGCTGATCATCAGTATCAACTAGAACAAGCGACTAAATCAAGTGGGGCCTTTGGTCAGCAGAAGGGACGTGCAATTCCCTGTCCTTTGGTGCCTGTAGCCAGCCCATATCCCTCAAAAACTGAGAAAAGAACCCCTACCTTTAAGCTCAGTTAAGAGACCTGTCTCCAACTGATTTTAGTCCAGGTGAGAAACTGGGATATCACTGAAAACACAAGCACTTAAAGGGGCAGTGATTGAAACCTCCTTCTCTTTGTGTTCACCAGAGGTGTGCAGATACACCCCAAGCCCAGGTCCAAGGTCTGTGGCCTGGTCTCCTTAAAACCTTTTAACTCACCACTCTAACTGTGCTGGTTCCTGTTAATTTGAGCAGTGCAAGCAAGGTATTACCCCATGGCCAATAAATTCATCCACTTGATTGGAAAAGCTCCTTTTCTGAACACAATGCCTTTTGGTAATTACACATTTAAATGATTTGCTCTAAGTGTGGAGAATCAGTGGTCAAGGCGGACCTGAGCTTCTCAAACCATTTCATCCTGTTCTCTCTGTATCTCTGTATCACTGTCCACACATTTGGGACCTCACTCAGCAAGTGGTAGGTGCAGTCATGGAGGTTGGAGGCAACTTCTGAGGGAGTGTACGGACATCTGAGCAGTTACTGGGAAACTAGGAGCAGAAACAGGTCTGCTCCCAAGGGCAGGATATACTATATTCACTATAAACAAATCATCTACCCCAATTCTGATTCCCCCATGGTCTGACATTGATGTCAAGCCCTGAACTTGCTGATCTTCGTCAATAGACAAGCAAGAAGGAAATCAGGCATACAGCTTTCAACTTTCACATGCTTACAGCCAGCTTGGCTCTGCCATTCACTGCTCCTTGGGGAGACCCTACTGAAGTTATGCAGATAAGGCTGCTAAACCAACCCCCATGGCATTCTGACCCATGCCCTAAAGCCTCATTAATATCTGGGACTCCTTCCAGACCCACCCTGCTGGCATCAAACGATCCGCACTCTACCAGATTATCCCAGAGAAGTTAGCAAGGCTTCAGGACAGCCCAAGCTTTGTAGAATTGTTCAGACTTGTGAAACAACTATAGAGGGTTTAAAAGAACCTTTAATTTCTCGTCAAAGCATCATACTTCACAAAGAATTAAAATAGAAGGGAAATTACAATGAAGAAAATGGAAACAAAAAAATTAACGTTCCCCCTTGTGTTTGAAAAACTGTTGGGGAAGTCGATAGCATTTAATGTATAATGAGCATCCACAACCTTCAGAGAGCTTTGGAAATCTTGACTATTAATTTGATCTTCTTTTTCTCCCCACTTGGATCAATGGAAATATTTTCTACATGTATATTTTCAAGACCCTTGTTCGCTGTTAATTTTCTCTATATCCTTTTCAACATCTTCCTCCTAAAGTTTGTCAGTCACTGCCACAGAGATTCATCAGGGCTGTCTTGTAATCGCCACTGGTGTCATCCTGACAGGAGAAAAAGTTAAAAAATAGGTGAGCATGGAAGTTCCTCTATATGCTCCAAGTGCTGACTTTGTCATTCTGTGAAATATGCCCACACAGGAAAAGGATTTTGGAAAGAGCAAGCCAGACTTTAGCAGAGTTACTGCCAACTGACACACCATCAAAAGTGAATGGAGAAATGAGGCTTGTAGCTGCCACCTGAAATAACATTTATCAAGTCTAATTCTTTCCTTCGGAATGCAGGTGAGCAATTGGTCAGGGTTCTGCCCTGCAGAGCAGCACAAAGTCAGCACAAATGAGAGCAATCAAGCCAGTTGTGTTCAGATTTTATATCCCTGGATATTTGTGTACCATCTCTTCCCTACAGGAAGAGAAAGGGTAGTAGAGCCCTGACACATGGTATTTTTTAAAAAGCCAAAAACAGGGTCATTTTTATCTAGAATTCACTAGATAAAAAAATTTGCTCCCTTTGAATGTTTTGTGATGACAGGTGTAAAGCAGTTCCACTTCTCATAAGGAATGAATATGCTGTACAGATCCTTGAAGACTGATCATTAATCAACATGACAGACTCTGACAGTGTCAATTACAAGAAAGGGCCTTCATTACAGAACCATTATGTCCCATGGGGACTGCTAAGGATATAGGGCTTCTGTGCCATTTGCACAGGGGGAGAGGAATGTCCCAGAGTCCTTAGGACAAACAGTAAACCCCAGCATTTCAGCCCTGACAGGGGAGGCACATTCAAATGCTACAATAAGCTTTGACAAGGTTCAGTTTCTAAACCTGTCTCATCACTTCACCTGGGGTAAAGTCAGCTAAAAAATCCCAAACAACAGCAACAACAAGAAAAAAAAGAAAACAAACAGAAAAAAACCCAGCACTGTTTTGACTTATATGGCACTGGCTTGAGGTAGTTAGGGATAGCAGATAGAGAAAAGAAAATGGCACAGAAGTGTGGGATAGGTGTAACAATTTAGATTCATATAGAAGTTCATGCAGTGCATGGATACAGAATCTGGTCCATGAAAAACCTGGTGCAGTCTCTTCTTGGGTTTGCTTTGTCCAAGACACTTGTAGAGCATACAGTCTGACAACCTGACTCACCTTTCAAGCATATATGTCTCTCAAGGGGATGATAGTTAATAGGCCTAATGAAGGAGAGCCATGATCACAGCCAAAATGACATTGTTACTGCAAACAACCATGGAAAAATCCCACAGTGCTAGACAGGTTAGGAATACATGTAATGGCTAAGAATCATCATATCAAGATTCTGCTTACCAAAATCATACTGGAGAGAGACTTTCCTGCAATACGTTTGAATTCAGGCTTTATAAGATTCAGGTCAACTTCACTTCGAGAAACAATCACCCTTATAAGAGTTCCATCATCTGTGCCAGCCCCCTGGAATAACAGATATATCAGTCTATGATGTTAGTGGGTGTTCAAGGGATAAGCTGTGCAAGCTGGTTTAGGACAGGAGGAGTCAGCTTTCAAACATCATTTGTCCTGCAGAACATCTGCATCCCTTTCTGGAGGGCCAACCCTCACACCCGTCCCAGGGGCCACCATCAACACCACATGCCCACCACGGAAGTGTGCTACAAGTTCTGTTTATGTCAAATGCAAAAGCAAACACGCTACAGAGTCAGAAATCGGCACTGAATACACATTGTGTAGCATCATCCATGCAATGTTTGGCTTCAACCAATATTGTTTAATCACTCACAGCAAAATTAAGATCACATCTATAACAAAACAAATCAGTTATCTCAGCTTTCCAAAAAGTTGGGAGAGCTGACATCTTTTACATATCAATTAAGCATTACAGGGGCACAATCTGCAAATGCCTTATGTGTCCCCATTTAGAACTCTCATTTTATACTGCCCTTGAGAGAATTGCTTCCTAAAGAGAAAATATTGTGTTCCAGTCTATTAACATGGAATGCAAAGCTTCACCATAATCAACTCCCTAGAAAAGCTTCTTCCAGAGGTTTTGTCTGTGTTCCAGAAAGTGGGATTGGGCTTCTTGCAGACTCTTAAACCAGAAAAACCAGACTCCCTGGGTATCTCAAATTTAAAGGGTACTTTTCTACCAAAGGGTTTTGAAAGAATTCTGCTACTTTTTGCAAGAATTGCACAAAACTTGCTGCATTTCACCAAAACTTTGGCTCTTCTAGTTTGAGCTGGTGGAAGCCAGGTTACAAGCTAAGTCCAGTATGAAAACAAGTGTGCTACAATGAGAGTCTTACCTTTAAAGCATGGTACAGCCTCTCTGCAAAGTAGCAACGGATGTTCCTGGTGCATTTCACTAGACATACAAAAAGGTTCAGTAAGAATCAATGGTAATTCCAGTCCAGGGCAGCAGGTGATTCAGACACAGATTCAACATCCTTTCCATTAATTCAGTGTGCTCCAGAAATCTAAGTTTATCTTACCCAAGGGGCACACTTTACTGCCTGCCAGATACCTTTATAAAGTAGATCCACCCCATAACAGTCAACTACTACAGGAGAAAAGGCAGCAGATTCAGACAAAGCAAAGGGAAACATCATCACTCTTACCAATAGCCAGCATGGCATCCTCAAGTGAACCACGAGTTTCACTCTTGATAGAGTCTTCTATGCTCTTACCAGCCAGTTTCTGGTATTCTTCAAACACTGTTTGAAACACAAAGAACTTCAGTTTTTTACCAAGCAACCTCTGAGGCCCAATATTTGCAGGCACTGCCTGTGTGGTTATATGAACACACAGATCCTGCTAAAGCAATGGTCACATTTGCACCAGCAGGAGGCTTTAGTCGACATCAGAAATAAGGTACAAAAATGGATGGTAATATTCACAAAACCCAAACCATCCCTGATTCTTAATTTCTTGCCTTCATTTGAAAATGTAATTTCAGTCATCTCAAGTTCATTTGGAAATCTGACCCTTCACTGCTGTCTTTAAACACGGAAATGAAGCAGACCACAGAAGGTTAGGCACACCTTTGGTCTTGTGGTTGGTGATGTCGTTAGCTTCAGGAGCCAAAATAATATAAATCTAGGATTATGCTGCTCATGGCCCATGGACTTTAAAATGATGACCACACGTTTTGGGAAAACTTGCTATTTCAACCACAATTTAAAAAAAACAACTGAGAAAAGATGAGCAAAACACAGGTGCATATTCCAAGATATTTGAGTTCCCACATTAACAAAAGCTCAGGAACAGAGTCACTTTTCACCTTACACACTTTGTATACTCCAGGGTTCAGAAACATAGATATCTGTTTTTATTCCTAGCTTTCAGACTAACAGAGAAGGAAAACTTCTATATAATGCAACGGACATCTTAATAAACTTTGCTCAGCATCCAAGACCATCAACCCTCAAGATACTTTGAGGAAAGGGAATACAGAATAGACAGAGGATACGAACTTCTCAACTCAGGCCTACTCTATTAAAAAAAAAAAAAGGCCTCAACAATTACACCCAGGTTTTAAAGACAATCAGCTCCAGGCTGCCATAGCACAGAAGAAATTGCCTGGTGGTGCCACAGTAGGTTTCAAAGATTGGTTGCATTATGACAACAACTAGATGAATTTTGGGTTTTAAAGGCAGATACAGACAAAGACTCTAGAGGCCCCTTTTTTTTGTGTGTTTATTTTTTAAGTGACTTTGGGAGATTGAATTTGAAACACAAGGGGGAGCTGGCTTCCAGGGCATAGAAACAGCCTCAGAAGACCTCAGCTTGAAAAAGTTCAGGCATGCTGAATTTATCACCAACTACATTTATCAGTTTAGGTCCAGCTGATTTACATAGTACTTGATATGCTTAGATTAAGCCAACATAACAAAATCTGTTATGCCTCAAAAGTCTTGAGATGACAAGGTCACATCTCTGCTGCATGGACAGTGAGGAGCTGAGGTCTCTCTTAGCTGGAGAAGGGTTAGTGTCTTCCCTCCCAGCAGCCCTTGGTGCCCTCTGAAGAATCTGGAGCAGAAATGCAGATTGCACCCTGAATAATAAATGATTTTTTTTTCCCCCAAAGGAACCCACATTCAAGGGGTCATTTGTCTGTCCACCACATGCTCCTTGGTTAGAAAGGGACTCACTCACTCACTTCTTGGGTTTATAAAAACAACTATCCTGTTATCAACACTGTATAAAGGACTCCTAGATAAGCCACTTGGTTTTCAGCAGAACTAAGTCTTCATAATCTTTCATAAAAGCTGCTAGCAGCTTTTGGTTATGGAGTGACTAAGGATTAGAAAATAGACTCAGGTACTTATTTCCGACCACCCAGCTCTTCCACCTATAGCCCTGTCTCTCCTTTTTGGCTAGAGTGATTTCTCATTCCAGAGCTTGGGAGTGTGGGCTTTGCTTCATACCTTTCAGTAAGTGTGTGGCACTCCTTTTGCACAAGATGGTGATGAACTGTATCTCATCAGTGCCCCGTATCTTCTCTCCAGCAGCATAGAGAGTCTGTAATTTAACACACAATTATTAGTAAGATGTTCTGTGTGTGCAGCTGGTAAAGGAACAGAGTTTGTCTGAAGGCATCACTAGAGTAAAGAGGTTTGAAGTAACCTAAAACACCGTGTGAACTAGAGTCTTCTAGAATGGTTGATTATGAAAACCTGTCTTCTAGACAAATTGGAGCAGCTGCTATCTCCATCCTTTCCATCCCTCCTGTAGCAGCTGGAGCAGCCAACAATACTCTGGAGGTTTCTTCACTTTTCTTTCCCCTTACACTCCACCACACCCATACACTTCACATATCAAAAGCAGCTGAGCACAAGCCCAGGTCTCATCACTCCTGTTTGGAACAGCAAAGCTCAGCAGTGCAGGTGAAACTGAAGAACCCCAAGTTGCTTACTTGAAGATCACCCCACCCCACACTATTATGAGTCCAACCCTCTGATAACCAGGACTCTGTTGCCCACTGAAGCACTCTGAATTTCAGGAAGGTGGGGATGCAGACATATCTGAGGCATATCTGGCATATCTGCAGGCATATCTGATCACAGGCATTTGAGAGTACCTCTGCATCCTGGAGAGCCAGGGCTGTGTCCACATAGAGAGTGGCATTGTCTCTCTCACCCTATGAGAAGAAAAAGAAAGGTAACCATTTTGTCTCAGAGATTCTTCCATCAATAAGGATCACAGCATCTGTTCAGGGCAAAGATCAATTATCCTTCTCAGCTATCTATTTCTGCAGAGTGCTCAAGGAGTAGTGCTTCAGACAGCACAAGTGCTAACTCCTTCACTGAAAGGCACTGAAATCAGTCATGAAGTGGAGTAAAAAAATTCCTCAGTTATTCTGCTGCTAGGCAGAAAAATTGAGAAAATGTGATAGAGTAAATGCATCCAAATACACTCAACATCAAGGGCACAGACCCTAGAAAGTGGTGAATCATAGTGGAGGGCCACTGTTTTCTAAGACCCTTGTAGAGTGCAGTGGCTTTACACATACAGAAAAGTGAGGTGTCTCTCTGCAGCAGAGCTGGCTCTAAGATTCCATCTCTTATTGCTGCTAAAGGATGGAGAGTTCCCTGCTTCAGTACATGGAAGCTGAAACAGATCCACTTCAAGTGACATGGTTGTCTCTGCAGTTTATCTGGTGATCATGACTGTACTGGCTTTTCTATTGCATGTCTTCTCAGAAAAGGAGGAGAAAAATGTGATGATCTTTATACCCTCATTTCTCTTCTCTAGCATTACCTGAAGAAGGCAAACCAGAATCTGTTCTAAGTAGCCACTTGTTTCCGATTTTATATCTTCTTCCAGATCAGAACCGTATGCTGCCCAAAGGAAAGAGAAGGACAAGGAAATGATTTGTTATTTGGGTGGTATAGTCAAGATATTTCCAGTAACCAAAGGATGATGGTCAAAAAGGTAATTAGGGAACAAAATAGGGCTGAGACCACACCCTCAGTGATACCCAGGTTGGCACTTGCATCCAGTTGAGTCACTAGCTCCCCTGATGTCCAAGGAATAAACCCAGAGCTAATGTTAGAGGTATAGTTGAAGGGACTAAAGAGGTCAAATATTTACAAATACATATTTAATAAAATCCCATCTATTCAATGGGGAGAAGCAGCCAAGGGCACAGCTATAATTTTGCTCGTGTTCTGACAATAGCCCTTCTGGCCAAATCTGTGGTTTGCTCACTCTCTGCTGTAGCTGGATGAAGATCTAGAAAGGGATTTTCAAATTATCTTAGCACAGCCATGTTCTATTTGCCAGGCTGAAACCAAAGTTAGGTTCCACTTTCTGGCTTTTAAAAAAGCCATTTTCCTGCTGACAGTGCTAGCTGGTAACAGTGTTGTGCAATCAGGCTCATTGCTCTGACCACAGAAATCTGAGCCCCAGGCACCTACCTTCTTTGTAAGCCTTGATTATCTCTTTGATCTGTGCTTTAGTCCGAGATGCCAAGATCTCTATGATAACACCTTCACTGGTTCCCACACCCTTTAATAGAAAACACAGTGGAGAAATAAAGGTGGAGAAAAGGATCTAGTCATGGAGTGCAATTTATTGCTAGAAAAGTATGGTCAAGGGAGGCGTTGGATAGCAGCAGTGTCAGGCTGTGTGCTGAGCTGTAAGAAACTGTCATGATGAAAGCTGGAGACAGAAAGCACATTTGGTTTGAACACGGTTTCTTTTACTGAGGTGCCTAATTTGTAAAGGATGATTTTATGTAACCCCACACTTCTGCAATGCGTTTCTGGAGTCAGATCTTTGACAACAGACAGCATTAGAGGGATGTGGGGAGACCAGTGCTTGGCTAGACAGTCATCTTTGGACCACTTTAATAGACCACTCTGCATCTGAAACTTGTAAAGATACAGTACCAATAGGTAGGATCCCAGCTAACCCCAGCCTGGCCCTTACACCACCACTCCTTAATTTCTTAAAGGTTTCATGGCTCAGGTGGGGCATCAGGGCAGCAGCTTTGTGTGTGAATTTAGAATCACAGAATATTCTGAGTTGGAAGGGACCCACAAGGATCTTCAAGTCCAACTCTTCAGTGAATGGCTCCTCCAGGGAGTGAACCCACAACCTTGGCATTATTAGCACCAGGAGTCTGGGAAGGCAACAGCAAAACTATGAGACACGCATGTACAGAAATTCTTTTATAGCCATAACCACAATATGCATTAATAATACAATTAACTATTTCTCAAAGGCTGCTGCTAATAACAAACTTAACAATATAACAATCCACTTATTACCAATTACATTAATAAGCACAATTACAGGAATTTAGCACTGCATTTGTGCTATTACGTAAATATCAGCATGCAATTTGCTTACCTTCATGGCATCATACAGCTCCTTGGCATCATACTTGAATGGGGGGTACATGAGAGCTACAATGAGCCTCTCAAAATTGCCACTCAGTTCAGACTTCAGACTTTCAATCAGATCCTGTTAAATATGCATCACACAGTTACATAAACAGCATCACAGGATCTTTTTACTGCCCATGCTGTTTCCATCCCCATGGCCTAAGTAATGAAGCTGAATGACAGTATTGTGTTGACAGTTCATTAAAAAAAGGTCCTGGGACTGAAATGGCACCTAACTCCAAAATGGGATTTGTCTAGGTCCTTCCGCATTCCCTGTTTTCGCAATACTTAAGCTTTTCCCAGGTAGTAAATCATCCTGCAGCAAATCTTTCTCCATTCTGCTCTAGTTAGTGAGCAGATTAGGCAGCTGAAGGCCTCGAACTGAACACAGGTGTAGCTTCAGGGAAAGCTGATTCCCAAAGCCCGCACATAAACTTGCACCTGGGACATTTGCAGAATCAGGCATGTAGTTTGCTTGAACATACACGTCAAGCTTTCCTTTCACTACAGTGCAGGTTTTTCTAGGGTATGACTGTCTTTGTTTTAGTGGGATGCAAGCATTCTATTTATACATTGTTCCATATTTGCCACCCCCATATTTGCTTCCTTTTCTGGGGCACTTGCATGGCAGTTCTCTGTCCAGCACGGGTCATTGGAGGCTCCAGAGTAGGGCTGGTAGCACAGTTTGCTTGTGGAAAAGTTTTTCCATTAAAAGTAAGATTTTTATCGAAGAAACAAAGAGAGCCACAGGAAAACACGGTTGTCAATAACCACAGATTGTTTTCATTTTCAGAATTTCCAAACAACTGTAATTAAATAAGTCTTTAAATTGAACTTTCTGTGACACTTAAAAAGGCCTGAAACTAAACCAATATTTTACTCAAAATATCACTTTAAAAAGTATCAATTTTTGGTACAGCTTCAAAAACAATAAGAAGCTACACTCTGAGTTGAAACTGATTTTTTAGAAGTGTTTCTGGTCAAAACGCATTTAAAAAAAAAAATTTAAATCTTTGGGAGAAAACCAAGTTTTTCTGATCAAAAATTAATTTCCCACATTCATCCCAGGCCTTATAAATAGATATTAATCTAGTTATTTGCAGAAGACCTGTGTATTGTTTGCATCATGCTTGCAGGATGAATTGTACACCCATTTACTACATCCTGGCTGCAGTAAAACAGTGATTGAATATGGCTTTGCTTTGGAAGAACCTTTCCAAACTGTGCTTTGAAGGATTTGGCAATCTCTTGACGCTGTATATTGCTCCTCTTGGTTAGGACATCAATTATAGCTTGTTCATCAGTCCCTGTGGAGAGCAACAATAAGTCATAAACAAAGGTCACAGAATAAGCTGAGACTAGTCCAAAATCCCAGCTTGAATATTCAGATAACTTTGCCTAGTTCATTGCCTTCTCGTAGAAATTTAGGTACATACTAAGGAAACTTTAATTTTTCACATGAAAAAAAGTTATATCTCTGGATGCAAATTTCCTAAGGAATGGCTTTCAACTTAGCAAGTATAAGCAAAACTAGAATTTACATATGTGGTTGGAGTCAACTCACCAAGCCCTTTCATGGCCTTGTACAGAATCTGGGCATCAGGTGCAGCATCAAACCGTAAAGTACCTGCCACAGACTTGCCCTCTTCTTCACTCTGAAAGAAGAAAAATACAGGACTTTTCATGCTGTATTTCATCAGCTGAAGAAAAAGCATTTGAAAAGTACAATAATGCCATTTGTTGCCTACACTTGGGAAAGTCCCAGAAAATAGGAGAGACTGTTTCAAAGTTTCTCAGCAGAGCAAAAAGAGAACACAAGTTTCTCTCCAAAGAGAACACAAGTTTCCTGTCTCCACCTGTCTGTACCAGCCTTTGGCTCCCGGCAGAAACATGAAGTGCAAAGCATGGCTGACGCTGCTGCAAGAGTCAGCAGGGAGTGCAGGCACTCTGGCAGAAAAACCTCAGACTGTAATAGATTGGACTCTCCTGTTCACCCCTTAAATACAGTGCTTTACAGCACGTATGCTATGGCATCATACTGCATTTCCCAGTGGGTTGGTGCAGGGTAGTTTTTAGATAGTTTTTTGATTTCCTGGAATAGTCTTGTTCTCACAAGCCATTTTTCTAAGTAGCTGCTGCTGCACTTCTGCACAGCTGGTTCCAGGAAGGAAGCATCTCCACTGGAAGGATTTGGGCTAAGAGACTACTTTGAAGGAAGAGATACATCCAGAGGAGTACAGGTTTGAGTTCTTTGCTGTACCAAGAGCCAACTACACAAGAATCCTCCTGACAGACCCCTAAGGTGCCAATAGTGCCAGAGTCCCAGGGCAGAAAGACACACTGAGAATTATTTCAGTCACCACAAGGTAAGCAGGACAATCAACCAAAACCCAGGCATAAAAGCTTTAACATAGCTTTTAGTCAAGGGAGTAGCTTGGATATATTGTCATATCTCTAACAAACTGGACCTATCAACAGGAGAGTATGTGGGTGGATAGGCATGAAGAGTCATCATCACTTTATTCCAATGATAGACAGTTTTCTCTTTCTTAGCAGCAAAGATATTTAAGTTGGAAACAACTATATTCTCATAAATTTACCTTCAGAGATTGTGTTAATATTGAATTAATGGTATCAGTATGACCTGCTGGATTTGTCAATGGGGGTGACTTCACAGTCAGAAAAAAATCAGAGCTCACAGACCAGAATGAATCACTATGGTTGTCCTACCTGACCTGCATAATATGGACCACCAAGTGCCACCCACCAGCCTCCTGCTGTGATGCAAACACCCTCTGCTCTTATTTCCTGTGACAGAGTACCAGTAGATACAGCTGGCACATGTTTGCTTGCTGGCCCCTTTGCCAGCCAAGCTCCAGGTGCAGTGACAAGGGACCAAGAGGCAATGATGAGTATTGAGAGAGGCAGTATGTTCATCAGTCAGCAAGACTAGGAGAAGTTTGCTTTACAGCCAGCACAGACTCCTGCACTACCACACCTTGTCCCAGCACAAAGAGCAGCTGTGAAGCAGATGGTGTCAACAGGAAACTTCTCAACAGATGAAGCTTTGAATTCAAATAATCACTGAACAGCAAGTTTAAGGCTGTGGTGAAGCTGTCACTGCAGAAAAAGCAGTGACAGACTAGGTAGTATTGCCATCTCCAACAGTTTGTCATTGGCCTAGAGGTGTCTGGCTGAGCTGGCAGGTGCACCTTTTGTAGCCCTCTGGTAAGATAGCCAGCACCATCACAGCTTTCTGGGAAAGCAGGTTGCACTAATCCATGTGATTTTGCTCTGAAAAAGCTGGTCAATCCTCTCTAGCTGCATGCAAGGAACATGTGAAAAAAACCCCCAACATTCTGGATGCATGCCTGGTGACTCAGTCAAAGAGGGAGTGCAAAGCGGAGCTTTCATTTGGAGGTAGCGGAAACAAATCAAACAATGATCTCTTTTGGTACTAATTCCAATAAACAGTTACGGCCCTTCCTGGGTCAAGTAGCGCACTCATGACTCACTCATACACCTCATTCTCCATGTACATAATTGTTGCAGCACAGGTACAACCACATCAGCTTTTCAGAGAAACCCTGTTCAGTTTGGTCTTGTTTCCCAGTTGAATTGATCCTAGAACTACCTAACTGGAACTGCTCGAGGCATTTGTGTCACTCAATGTAAATATGAATAATTGGCACGAAAGCAGTAGAATCAGTGTACCTAACAGCTGATGCTCTGAAAAGTTTTACCTGTAAATGAAAGGAAGGATTAAAAGCTTTATTACCAAAATATCTTCAAAACTTAACAATAGTTTATTGAAAAGCTGAAATTTGGGGACAGGTAGGATTACATTTTTGGTTTTTCTCAGTAGCAAGTTTCTCAGAAAGTTTCACACTTTTTCATTCTTTTTTTTGCCTTTGAAGTGTATTTTTTATGACGGGTTTAGAAAACCAAAACAATTTTTCCCCATCCTTCCTTGGGCCTCTAATTTTCTTTTCATGCCTCCACCCCCTACAACACCAACTAGCAAGAGATCACTGGAGTTTTCAAGGGTTTTTCTCCTTCTTTTCTCATTCTAAGTTTAGAAATTATTTCCAAATTGGAGTAGTGGGGAACAGATCAGCAAAAAGGGAAAAATTAAAGTGAGAGCTACTCCAAGCTTTGGAAATGCATCTATTTGATTATACTAAACTTCCAAAAGGAAAGAGCAAAGCAGAGGGAACTCAGCAGAAAGGAAGATTACAACTTTAATCTTTTTTTTTTGGGGAGGGGGGGGAATATTTTGAGATTATGAAATTTTGCTATCTGAATCCTGCTGAAGGAAAGTAGGAATTAGTTTGGCAATCCCTGTTCCACAAGGTATTTTGGGTTTAGTTTGGTTTTTTCTTCTAGTCCTTGCCCCTTGTTTGCAAAATTGTAACTGAGAACCTGAAAAATCAGTCTCGTCCATGCAGAGTAGTTTCTCCCTCCCTGATGGCTGCATTGCATTGGAGGCAATATAATACACTAAAACAGCTCTTCTGTGATTCCCAGGTACTTTTGCTGGCATGTGGCAGGGAGGCCCCTCACGCCCTGCTCAGCCCCCAGTGGCACTACCCCAGCTGGGAGAGGAGCAGCAGCACTGGAGCCTCGGTGCAGGTTTACCCTTTGCACAGGCTGCTTAAACATGAAGCTGTCTTCACAACAACAAGTGAGGGAACTCTGGGACAAATCTTTCAACAAACAAGCCAAAAGCATTCCAGAGAAAGCCTGTACACTACTGGCAGAGGTGCTGGGCAGGGGTTGGAACAGTAAAAGAAGGCTTCTCTACCAGTACTCCTCCACTGCATGTCTCCAGCAGGTTTCTTCTAGGCTTTGGCTTATAGTTATCTGGAGATGAAATCCCACAGAGGCTAATGGGAGAGCTGCCATGGATGGCAGCAGAACTGGGCACATCACCAGAGCTACCTGCTGCCTGGCCTGAGCTCGACCCTGGAGGCTGCCTCAGCACACCCCATGAGCATCTCCCATCCTGCCAATTCCTCTCAAAGCCACAAGAGTTTACAAGAGAACACACACAGCATTTCTGGCTCCTAGCAAACAGAAAGGGTATTCAAGGACACGTTGTCATTGCAATATTAAAGATCTACCAAAGAAAGACATTATGGCTTGACTATATCTTTCTCTGTGACCACAGCCTGCCAGCACAACAGGGAACCAAAATGGTGACAGACCAGTGCCCTGAACAAACTTGGCCACAAGAGAAGGGAGCAGACAAGGAGCCCGCAGCTTGCAGACCTCAACTGTGTAACTTTGCTGTTCCATGGTACCATCTCCCCATGCACACAGGCACATAAACACCCCCCTGCACCACTCTCAGCTGAAGGGCCAGGCAGAGTCTAGTCCTCTTCTTATAGCCAGCAATCATGTTAACACCTTCATTCGTCAGTGTTTTTGAAATGCTGAATGCTGCTGTGCAGCCAGAAGAACAGTAAACAGGTCTTGCTGATTTTTAAAGGAAACTTTTCATTCCCACATAGTGCCTGATACAACTTATAAGTTACCTTATTATAGTGCCAAAAAAACTCAGGGTGTGAATATATCCTCTACTTACCCAGGCCTTCCACCACGCCATTGCAGCCTCAGTAGTGATACCTGGGTCTGTTGATGAAGAAAACCACACATATCATACCTCGTGGTTAGGGAATCTGAGATTTGAAGGGAGGCATAGGCAGAAGAGGAAGAAGCAAAAGTTCTTTTCAATAAACTTACCGCAAGAAAAATGGAATAACTGTACTCCTCTGGAGGCTTGTTCCCTCTGGAAGCCACAGAATGTAACTGGCCTCTCTGTGTTAGGCACACGCAGGTATAAAGCATCCTTATCTACAAATTCCACAGGGCAACACCCTCAGACATGGCTCAACCTGTTTTTCACATATGATCTCACAGGGAGAGATCAAGTTGCTTAATAAACGAGGCTTCCCTTGTGAGAAGCCCTACATTCAACCTTGTTGACTCATTGTAATGTTTCCACTGCTTCTCCCAACATACGCCCTTCCCTGCTAACATTTTGGCCTCTGGCACAGACACAACATGCAAATTACAACTAGGTAATTTCTCAGTTTAAAACTCCACTGAGGCTAGGTGAATTCTGCTACAATAGAATAAGCCATTCATTATTACCAACTCTTGCTGTCTCTACCAATCTGGAACACTGCAAAATGGAACTCTAGAAACCTAAACTCTCCTCTACCTCCCTTCCTTCAAAAACTTAAACCCCCCCAAACAACCACAAAAAATCCAAACCAAACAAACAACACACCCAGCCACACTCCACACCATCCATGTCCTACACCTTAAGAGTGAAACTCCATAAAACATCAGATTGTACAGAGACTTAGGAGGTTCCCCCATCCTACACCTAGACTTTCACAATATCAGTCACAAACCATCTTTAGGGTAGCATAGGACCAGCATATCTAAGGCTAAAAACATTCAGTAGTGCCTCAGCAAAGTGGTCATAGAGCTTGCACCATCTGCTGTGACATGTTAGGGCTTAGGAACTGAGTGTGAAAGTTTTCTTTTTTTTTAAAAGAAACCCCCCCCAAACCCCCAAACAGCTGAATAGCTCTAAGCACTTTAATTTGGAGAAATGTTTCTGTGAAATCATCTGAAATATCTTATGGTTGTAGCAATATTTTCCTGTCTAGACTTTAGTCAGAATCCACCCATGCCAGCATTTATTTATTTATTTTCAATGGGAAGCTGCCCTGATGGAAACATTCCCACCAACTACATCTTAGCCCTTGCTATGTAGGAGCCTTGTGCCCTCCCACATTTACAGACACACATGGGATGCTGGGTAAACACCAAGCTATGGGCCTCTCTTATTTCCTTTGCACACACTGCTATTTCGCTTAACTCAAAAAGGTCTCTGATGGCCTGGGAAGTTTCCCTGGCTATTCCCAAGAGAATGAGCTATGCCAGCTGCTGCTGCCTCCAACACATCCATCATATGGTGAGGTCAAGTTGTGAAGGAGACATTTCCCTTGGTGTAACAAGCATGCTGCTGGGTCTGCACTGGCTTTGTTTCTAGCCATGTTTGAGAGGCAGGTTGATCAACAGTACACAGCAAGGAGAGCTCATGAGCAGTCCTTCAGTCCTCCTCCTGGAGGTAAGGTGCCTTCACGAGTAGGGTGCATTTACTTTTGCTGGATCCCAATATTTGCTGCCCCTTTCCCTGGGTTGGGATTTAATTTGGTCAGCTTGCCATGGAGGTAAGCTTTCTTGAGGACTCCAAGGATAAAGAAGCCCTTCTAAACAGAAAGTCACAGAGTTACAGCAAACAGCCATAAGTCACAGAGGAGAGCAAAGACCAAACCAGACAGAAAATAAAAAAAAAGTCCAAGTGGCCATTCTTGCCATCATGAACTACAAAGGATATGAAGGGACACACCAGGAGATTTTAATACATAGAAACACTGGCCAGGTTTTAAGAAATCAATATAGATGGGCTAGGAAAGGTCTAGAGAGTCTGAAACCTGCTGCAAGGCTCAGAGCAGGGCTGCACAGTCTGAATAAAGACCAGAGCAGTCAGCACTCGCAGGCCAGTGGAGCAGGAGGCAGACACTAGAGTTCAATACCCCTTTTGCTTCCACAAATACAACTGAAATACTGTTGAACTGAGCAGCTGTAAACATGAACAGATTTGTCTTCATTGCACTTCTTGTCCCTCCCTTAACACTCATGCTGTGCATGTGAGTGAGCCTATCTGTGGTTCATGGACTTTACTACGGCATACCAGAGAGACACAAACAGCTTTTACAACACCAGTAAGCAATGCAAGGGACAACCTCCCATACAGCTCAGTGACTACTCTCAGGAAAATGCAGAACTTTAGAAAAGGGGCAGAAGATGATGCATGGGCTCTCCCAAGCCCAACTGTCTTACGTTGCCACTGCCCACCACCCCAGAGGCCACACTTGCATTTTAGGTATTACTCCATTTTGAAAAGCGAACTCCAAATGCACTGACGTGACTGTCTATAGAAACTTTGCTCAACATAATATTAAGGTGGTTAGAATTTGTCTCAGTGACTGTGTTTGCTTGTTCTGTAGTACCTCACAAAACACAGCCATCTCTCAGCTATCTGCAAGAGGATCAATCATGCCATGGGCACAGACACCAGTAGTGTGTGAAGAGTGACTCTTTCTCAAGCCTCCTCTAGGCTTTCAGAGAGTCCCTGCTCCTATTGATATGCCCAGCACAGCAAGAGTGGGCAGCAACCTCCAGCAAAAGAACACCTTGCACCATAATCAGGTTTGGTTTGTGGATTTTTAAGCCATTTAGTCCATATCAGTTTTCATCTAGATAAAATGCAGCAGTTACCAGTATACTTAGGTTTTTTTGACTTCATCCTTGGGACTTCCTAAGCTTGAATCAGTGATATTGGAGTTGTCCCTGATACATACTCAGCCAGAGCAAGGGATGTCATAATAGAAACCACAAGCAGAATTTTGCTCAACCTTTTTCAAATCGCAAAAATATTTAAGGCATAACAAAAAGGTGCCAATAGGCTTAGAATGGTACATGACTGACATTACTTCAAGAAGCTTTTGCTACCCATTAAATTCTGGCTGTTCTCTTCTAGGTTGAATGACAGCTCTAATTTAGACTGAGGATGACTAAAGTCTTCTAGAGTACAGAGGCAGCCCCCTTTTCCGTTTATGGAATTGTGAAGTCTGGCCCTGCACTGGCAAAGTTTCAGGCCACGAGCTGACTGCTTTGAACATGAAAGCTTATGGAAACCAGGTTCTCAACTGCACGGCAATTTCATTTCACGGCTTTCACTTCTAATAGAACCTTTTTGAGCCTATCAAAACCAGCACAGTCCATTGGCAATTTCATCCCAAAGTATGCATTTGTTTGTTTTTTCAGCCAGGAACTTGGAAATCAAGTGGAATAATTGAGGAAAAACCACACCAAACACAGAGATACATTGTTGTGCAAAGCAATAATATAATAATCATATAACATAACTACTTATATTTTAAGAAAGAAGAGCATACCCCTTAGACCAAACAGGTCTTCTGCTACAAGGCTACAAAATTGATACCTTTCTCCAACCCAGTCTGTAGGTGGTACCATGTAGAACTCAAGCTCTGACAAGAATCCAGTTCAGCGAACTGCAGAATTATTTTTTTTGTGCGTAACAGAAATCACCAAACTGACATAGCACTGTGCTTTCCAGGTCTGAACATTATCCCTTCCTTACAGGTCTTTTAGGTCTACACCCACTACTAACAGCACTTGGCCCTCCCTTCCAGCGTCTTACAGCAGTCTCTTGCCCCAGAAGCTTGCAGACAGACTTAAACTCTCACTGTGCAAACTACATTAGTTTCATCCTGCAGATTTTAAGCCACGATTTAAACAAGCCCAGAGACCATACACTATCTTCTGCTGCTCTTTCTGTTTGTTTGTTTATTTTCTTCTTCCTTTTCTTCCTGCTTAAATGGATACAAGCAGCTGAATGCCCTCATCATTCTTAAAAGCAAATGCCTTTCCATCTGCTAATCAGTTCACCATCACCTGAAATCAGATCTCTAAATGGGAGAGCTGTGTAAATTTGACAGCAAACCAATCCAAACAAAGTTATTGTCTGTTTATAAATGAGGTGTGAGCTGGGTGGGGAAAAAGGTCAGATGGTGAAGGCAAGCAGTTTTGAGCAAGAAGAGCATCTGTAATGCAAAAATAAAGTTGCTAAAGCCTAAAAAAACCTGTACTCACCTACCTGGCAGCTCACTACTCACCCTACCCTTTCAGCTCACTACTCACCCTGCCCTTTCCTCTTGTGCTTTTGAACCGTGTTTCACAGTGAAAATGACCCCAAAAGAGGTTTATTTCCATTTGAAAATCACTAGCACAGCTTAATTTTCCCAGTTTCCTTTCCTCATTACAGCAAGCAGCTATGAGCCAAGTATCATAAGAGAAAATTCACATCTGTATGTTGTGGGGGATGTTCAATCACAGAAGAAGCAATAGAGTAAAAACTCAGGGCTTGATTCCCCTCAGCATCTCGGTAGCTCAGGAGGTCGAGCCCTGGTGACAGCAGGTACAGCCAGTGTTGTGGGGACTCCACCCAGAGGTTTGCAGAGGTTAGTGAAGGGTGCATTGACTTTGCTTTTAGGATCACCTTTGCTGCCCGGCGTCTGTCTGCTGTGGGTGGGAGAGTGAGGGCGAGGCACTAACACGGACATAGCAGAGCACATCCCTTTGGCTTGCACTGCCTCTGCACTGCTGCTGACTCTGGCTGAGCATTTTTCTGCTCATTCCTTTCCTGGGTTAGTACTGGTGCCAAGGAATTCCTCCCAGTTGCCGTAACAACCGTTCCCCACACAAAGCAGGCAATTGCTGTACTTGTTTAACCCCAAAGGCCAATAAAGAAAGCACCTTCTGAGTCAAAATGGTCGAAGGCAGCTCACTTGGGTCTGATGGGACATGACAGATGGCAGGAGTTCTCATGACAGCAGAGGGTGGTAGGCAGCATTTGGGAAGACTTTGGATGCTTGCCTGTGAAGTATTTTGTGTCTGTACCTACCTTCTTCTGTGGGGATTCGGTTTTGTGTACTCCTTGATGGAGTAAGTACAGGTGTATGTACACAATTAAACACAGTCCTACTGCTTGAAATTACCTGTGATGGAGACAGAATCACACAGAGCAACCTAGGAACTAAAAAAGAGAAAAATTTTCTCACATCCCTGAGTGTGTATGAGTCCAGCTGTTTGTAGCAAGGTAGCAACATACCCTTTACTGCTTGCATTAACTGGCATGGCCAGCCTGTCTTGGTAAG